TGTACCTAAAAGATTTACAAAACACTAGAGCATTTGAATTCTATGACTACATCTTATGCTATGACTGTTATTTTTATTTTTTTATCATTGCCGGTAGCTATATGGCCAGCACAGGCCAGCACTAGTCAACCTGTGGATTTTCTCTTGACTAAAATTTGCAACAGAGCTGTAAGTTTGTCAAGTTTTATTTAATAGATGGAGTCCAATCACTATTATCTGAAATGTATTCAGTTGACCATAAATAATACTTCCTTATATTTCTTAATGTTGTCAATGTTACAGAACACTTTTATACGCAGGGCTTTATTTGACTCTCAGGATAATTTGGTGGTGCCATCATATCCAATTTATACATAAGGAAACAAGTGGTTTTTAGGTATTTCAATTGGCTAAAGTATTTGCCCTGAGACTTGCATAACAGAGCTAGAAAAAGAAGGCAAGACTTCCAGTTGCTAATAAATGCTCTTCCTACCATACTTCATTGCTGCCTAGGCTAAAATGAAAAGAGGGTGTGGTTACCACATAAAGAAATCTGGATTGAGTTTACCATATATGTATTTGTAGTATTTGATGGTCTGCCTATGTACTTAGCTTACGATGGTTTTGATTCTAACAGTCTAACTCCATTTAAAAAAATTTTTTTTCATGCTGTTCTTTCTCGTATGAAAACTACTACCACCTGTGGCTATTTAAAATCAAATTTTAATTAATGAAATAAAATATTCTTCAGTGTGTGAGCAATGTGTCTAGTGTTCAGCCATCACAAGTGGTTTGTGGCTATTCAGTGCAGATTACACAGCTACTCCACCAGCACAGAAAGCTCTACTGAGCAGTACTATTCCTCTCCAGAGAAAAAATACTTTAGAAGAAGTCAAAAACATCTTGAGGTAGATGTAGTGATGTCATTTGCCCCTAAAGATAGTTTGGAGCTACAGAGGATTAGAATAGAGAAAGAAAGAGATATGCTTTTAGCCCAAGGGAATGGCAAAGACAGGTTTGCAGTCATTGTGTTGCATTTGGATCATGAGATTTTATATTTATATAAATATACATACACACATACATATATACACATATAAGTACACATAAATACGACCATTCTGTGTGTAGATATGATGTATCACATGTATGATATATGTTGTATCATGTATCATATATATCTGAATATATGTGTGTGTGTGTGTGTGTGTATTGCCTTTCCTGAAGGAACAAAAGAAAACCTAGTAGTTCAGATGTGAGGAAAAATGCCCACTTTAGGAAAAAAAATGCAGCTAAAACATGCAGATGAAATTAGGAAATTAGAAATTCATCACTGTGAAACTCCTAATGAAATAATCAGCTCAAGGGAGAAATAGTAATGAACACTAAAACAACTGGGTAAAGGTTGATAAAGAAGTACATATTCACAGTGCTGAGTTCACCCTGTAAATGAATGACTGCTCCTGAGAGGGGAAATAATGGACCATACAGGCCATCCTCACCATAGCTCTGGATGCACCTTAGCATCCTGAATGATGGGACAGTCAGAGATAATGTTTTCTAAAATAGTACAATGTGAATGTTTGCCATCACCTATAAAATATTATTCATAGAGAAAATGTTGAACTAGAATCTAATTAAGCTTTTGGAACTAATTTCTAGTTCACAAGGCAGGACAGAAACAGGGAATAGGAAGAAAAGTTAAATGACACCATAAAGGCGTAATCAGAAAATTCCAGAAGAGGGGGCTCATTCTACAGAACAACTGACTCAATCTCCTCAACAGGGCAATTTCACTAAAAAAATAAAGAAAGAGGGAGTTACCTTTGAGGTTAAAAGAAACTTAAGATAATCACATACAATGTGCATTCCTTGATTAGAAGGAACTAGCTATCACAAACCAATTATAAAAGACATTTCAGAATAATTGAGGAAATCTGAATGATTCACATTCACCTTTCTTATTCAAGAAATGACAAAGGAATGTTTTATTTTTCTTGGGATGATTATGATATAACTATCAATGTTCAATTGAAAATGTTCCTCTTTTAAAAGTCAATACTAAAGAATTTAGAGGTAAAATGTCATTTTCTTCAATATACTTTAAAATATTTCTGTCAAAAAATAAAGATGAAACAAATGTGGAAAAACATTAACAACCTAGAGTACATGTGTATATGGATGTCATTAATCTCTTGTATCCACTCTTCAGAAAGTTTGAGATCCTCATAATTTTATAATCAAAATATTTTATATCCCAAATTGTACAGATTTTGTCTGAGAATCTATTTCAGACATTATGAAATATTAAAACACAGATACTATATTTTAACATTTTAGAAACTCCATAATCTGCTCTCCTGCATAAATTATATAATCAAAGAACTGCAATTTTTTTTTACAGAAAATTGCTTTATAAAATTAGTTTCTTCAATCAAAATCAAGAATTTTTTGAATGCAGACAACCTAGACAGATTATGTCAGGTCAAAGAGAACCAAAGATATTTTGCTACTAGTCTTCTAGTCTATTTATGATTATCCAGTAGGAAATCAAAATGAAGGCACTTGGAATCAAAGTTCATTCCTGGGTATAATGCAGAAGACCAAGTCAGAAGACAAATCATTCTCATTAATTTACAATCATTCAAGACCAATTAGCTTACAGTTATCAAGTTCCTTTAGATAAACTCTGTCCTGGAAATAACCTGATTATTCACATTGCTTTAGCAAAAACATTCAGGAGATAAGTAAAATGTGAAAAAAAGGTTAGTTGGAATTGGCTGTTTGAATTTTTTTACTGAAATATATCAGGTTTTTTTTTTTTAAATCAGCCATCCTTTTAACCCATGCTCACCCCTCTTAGAAGAAGTACTTTTAGATTATTTAAAAGATGGTGCATCTACATTGGTTTTAATTTGTCATTTTATTCTTTATAACAACTACTAAGTAAAATTTGACTATTTTAAAGATTAATTTGTACATACAGAACTTGGGTACAGGCCAGAGGTACAGGGGTGGTGAGAGGATTCACCAGAGACAAAGTGGGGAGCAGAACAGGCAGATCAACAAAGTACACTGCTGAGGGGAGCAGTGGGAGAGTCCGGAGAGGTCTGCGGCGCCATGTGGATCACTTCCTGGGGAAAGCAGGATTGAACTCATGCTGAAATGGCCTTAGCTTCTTAGTGCTGTGCTTTAACCCACTGCACCACCAGGGAGGGCACAAATTTGACTCTATTTTAAGTATATATTAGCAGATGCTAAAATAAACTCATTCTTAAAGTTAACGAGTTTATCAGAGAAGACCCACTGAAGTAAGAGACTGAGAGTCCTCATAGAAAAGTGAGCCAAGAAATAATAAGGCATAATAATAATCTGCTTATGTGAATCAACAACTGTAGTAAATATTGGACAGGCTGTGCTTCTCTCACTCCCTAGAAAAATATGGAAGCTACTATAGCTAACCCAAGGCTCACTATTTTCCATCATTCCTTGGGAACAGCTTTGTCAGACAATAGTAAAATATTTGTCAACCTCTCTCCAAATCCCTGATTCAAGCCAACTTTCACCAATTCCCAGTGAGGAGCCAGAGAGAAATGCAAGTCTTGCATCTCCAACAGCATCATCTGCTGAGGTTGGTAATCACAATCCCAACACCCAAATTACCCCCTGGGCTCTGTTTATCTTAACTGTTTTTGACATTTGTTTTCAAATCCTCTCTTGCCATTTCTGAAATAGAGAAGTGGGACTGCAGTAGAGAAAATGAAGCAAGGGCAACCCTAAAGCTTCTTTTAATAATAAATCAGACAATAAAAAGGAGAGCCTAAGAAGGAGAAAGGGAATCCAAATGCCAGATAATTGTTTAGTTTTACTTTTTACAATGTGCACATTCATTTATACATCTGCAGAGATTTCACTTAAAGAAAAGTTTGGGGGTGGGGGAGGTCTGACTATACTAACAAGGCTAAAGTTACTTTTTAGATGTTTTCCACAAAGAATTCAGAGACTCCTCAAATTATGTGCTCACCTACTGAAGTCCTTGAGACACTGCTGGATTTTAGAAAAAAGGACATTGGGATCTGGGAATACAACCAAAGGTGCTTCTACTTGTAGGATGGCCAAGAAGGAGAGAGAAAAGAACCCAATCTGAGAATTCCCATTGCAAAAGAAGACTGAAGAGGTTCAGGGACAAGGGAGGGGAAATTAGGATGAAAACTGAGAGGGAGAAGAGGCATAAGATGTTGTCAGACATTAAAGGGCATCTTGGAGCGAAGCTGAGAATTGCTTTAAGAAAGACACGGCCAATCTCATCTCAGACCTTTTAGAGATATGCCTGCTGAAACTGAGATTAACAGGTTAATCCCCATTCCTTACCTTAATCAAATTAATCTTGAAAAAATTCCACTGAGAAGGAGTCAATGATATTAAACACCTTCAGGATCCATACTTGTCAAACATGTCAGGGATCAACACTGAGGTGTGTGTGTGTGTCTATGTGTGTGCACGTGTGGGTGTTCTGGGACAACACTGTCTCAGAGCCAAAATTTGCAAACTTGCAAGTAAACAGAAAAAAAAAAAACACTAAAACTATGTTGGTAGCCTACAAAAGAAGTTTGTTGGGAGGGTTGGGAGGGAGGGTAATGAAAGAGATGGGAACAAAGTTCTTCAAAAGAACTGCGGGGGTGGGGTGAGGAAGGGGAAGGTTAAGAAGGGAAAAAAGTTAGCAGGTGCGGGAAGTCTGAAAGAGTCTGCCTCAGGTTCAGGATGCCCGGAAGAGCTCAAAGAAGGGCAGGGTGGGGAAACCTTAAGGCCTTATGAACTGTGGGTCCTGACAGAGCCCTGGTGTCAGGGTGTGTGAGGGAGGCTGAGTGAGGCGAGGGCACTGGGACCTGGAGAGGACCGTGGGAGAACAGCAGAGCCTGGGTGGAGATAGGGGGCCGGGAGTCGGGGGTCAGGAGGGACAAGGGTAAGGAGAGGGGATGGCGGCCTCACGGTAGAAAACCAGGAGTCACTAGGTCACTCACCCCGTTGGCCGCAGCCATCTGCACCACGATCTCCGTGGCGGTCCTGCTGAAGTACCTGCCGTCGCTGCCCACCACCATGGTGCAGCCCTGGCGGTCGCGCAGATCGATGGATGACAGCACGCTCTGGATGAAGTTGGGCAGGTAGTTGCGCTGACCCTCAAAGAGGCCGGTGGGGCGCCGAAGCCCCCCGCCGCCTGCCGGCCGCTGGTCCTCATAAGGCGCTGTGGGCACCGTCAGCACCGGGATGGGGCTCCCCTCCATGGCGCCTCCTGGCCGGTCTTGCGGCTCGCGGGAGCCGGAGGGAATCTGCAGCCCGCCGGGGAAGGGGGAAGGGGGGCCACCAGCCTGGCGTCGCGCCCGGACTCCGCCTCAAGCCCGAGCCCCCTCCCCAGCTGGCGTGCGCCCTGCGCCCTCCCGCGGCACCGACCGAGCCTTGCGTTCCGAGTGGCCCCTGGCTGCCTCTACCTTCCAAGAAAGTTTTCTCCCGCCCAACTTTCTCTCCAACGGGATTGCCAGAGGTGCCCGCAGTTTCTTACCCCAGCTGGACTTACTTTTGGGATGACCCAAAAGCCCGTTCCCAGCGCCAGCTACCCCAACCCCGGCAACGCTTTCCGGCAGTGACTGGCTCAAGCCTTCCCGGGAGATCACTTTTCTCTCAGGCACACCCTCCACTAGAGCCCGAGATAGTAGGGCTTGAGCAGGGTACGGGGTCCTCTCCCGTCCGGCCCACAGCCCTCTTGCCTTATCTCCCTGGTAGTGAGCAGTTTACTCACACAAGTTTCTCTTTTGAACAAGGACAAGGGAGGGAGTTAAGAGGGGGCTGAAACCTTTTGCCATCAGTGAACAGCCCCAGCCAAAAATAACCCTGGAAAGGCAAGTTGAGAATTGTTATCTTCTGCCAGCGCTGAAATTGGAGGCTGGGCGCTTGTGTGTACGCGCGCGCGCGCGTGTGCGCGCATGTGCGTGCGTGTGCGCGTGTCTCTGTGCTTGTGAGTACACCCCACTACTACCATTTGTTGCAAGGAATCACATACTGTCAAGTCCTTCAATCCAGCAGGACCCGCCCAGCCATCCACTTGCCCAGACTCTCTCAAGGCATTCCCTTTTCAGTATGGAAACTTTTTTGCTTGTTTGTTGTGGTGGTTGCAACAGCAGCAACACAGTCACATATTTCTTTATTCTTCTTGCCCTTCTCACTCTCCCTAGCCCAGTTCATACTTAGAAACAGCCTTGCCCCACACTGTTTTTATCCACACAGCTGAGCTGTTAGCAGGTTGGTTACCTTCAATAGGAGGCGGAGGATAAAGCCCTTGTAATCGCTTACCAAGAATGAATGGACCAACTCTAAACAAGCAGTGGGCAGTACATCCCTCATATACACCCTCTCATTGCAGAGGGACTAGAGATGTTCTGCCTTCTCTCCATAACATCTACCTAAAATTCAAACCAAGAAGTATCCTATAAAAAATAGGAGTGAAAAAAGAAGACTAAAGAGATGAAACCCAGAAGAAACAAAATATTTTTTTGTTTCTATCTGCTTTCACCCAAAAGCTTTTTTGCAGTCCTACAATCCTCTGCTGCTTCTCCTCTCCCACATACTAGCTACTAAGATTGAGTTAGTGTGGGGTTATAAAATGTTTGATGATAATAAAATGACAGTGAGGAATAGTGCATTCTTCCATGCTGTATTACATTTGATAATATTTGCCTTTGTTTTCTCTTTAAAGGCTCAAAACAACCAAAATAAGTAGGAATGACATTGATATTACTCCCATTTTACAGGTTAAAAAGAGAGAGACTTTCAGTGAGGTTAAGGAAATGTCCAAAATAGCACCTGCAGTCAGTTAAATTCTTGTCTTGCTTCTGCCCCTTTTGATTGACATCATTGAGTTGTGATGAGGAAACCACTGAAGCCATTACCTGGGAGAGCGATCTACCCTTGGCCTCCAAGAGCCCATTCCCCTGTCAAGTTCCTAGGTTATTGGTGTGGTTAAGAGACTTGGCTTAGCAATAATAGAACCTCAACACTAAAGATTTGTACACATCTCTATGTTGTGAAGATTTAGTAATCACTTTCTAATGGCAACTCATTTTGTTTAAGAAAAAAAAAAAAGACTATCATTCCCATAATAAGAGAGCCTGTATCTACCTTAATAAAGAAAAGGACATAGCCCTCACATCTCAGAAGTAACAAGAAGTCCTCTGGGCTTCAATAACTCCATTTCTTCAATAACTCCTCCCGCTCAACATCACCATCATTCTCTCCCAATACAGCCCAGCTCCTTCCATAAAGACAAAGCACACACAGCTCAGACTAGATTTCACAGTCCCACCCGTGAAGAGGAAGGCATCTTCCCTTGCTACTAATCCTAAAGCTTCCAAATACTGATAAACCCAGCTTGAAGAAACAAGCCCAGCCACCAATCCAGAACCCCACAGTGAAAGGAAAAAAGGAAAGGAAAAGATACCAAGGTGCTGTTCCCTGAAGAAAAAAGATCGTAGGCCAAAGCATAAATATCCACCCCATACTTGACACTTATTGATCAAGTCTGAAAATTATTTTTCCTTTCTCTGAATTCACGTGGCTTCTTATATCACTCATCAGGAATGTTTCACACGCTGCCTCCCCTTTCAGTGTGTGTCTTCCCTCCTCTGGCTGGAGGTGACCTTGGAATAATTCTTTAACCTTTCCTAACCTCTGTCCTCACTCTGAAATAGGGATTATTATAACGCCTACCTCATAAATTGTTGGGAGGATTATAGTACACAGTACAGTACCAATGGATAGAAAGGCATTCAATATAAATGTTAGCTGTTCAAATTATTGCCACCCCTACCCTATTTCTCATCACTATTACTCTCCTGTAAAACAGAAAGCTTCTAGTTTATACCTTTGATCACCACTGTATCTAAAGAATCCTGGGGCAAGCTGTATAGAGTAATTTGTCCTTGAAACATTTTGTGTATTTGTGAGGTAAAGAAATCTCTTCAAAAGCTTCCCCCAAATTTGTCAAGTTAATTCCAACAAATCTGTCAAGGAGATGGAGAATGAACTTGAGAGGGGCCCACAGATAAGAGATGCTTTGCTGTAATTGCTCACTAGTAAAATGAGAAGGTGGGATTAGATCGGTGTTTCCCAAAGGGTTTTCCTCAGAACAAGAGTACCTTGCAAATGCTGCACAAAGCAAAAATGTCAAGGCCAAGCAACTTTTTAAAATCCTGTGCGCTCTGTCCCATTCTTGGAGGTTCACAGTGAGCATTTCCATATTAAAAACTCCAGGAAGTCCTGCAGAAAAGATGTGTTAGTCTAACTTTATTTTTTTTTCTTGGTTCTTTGCAAACTAAACTCACAGGACCTCTGTTTAAGAAAAAAGAATTGCACTTGCTTTTGTGACAACAGCTGGTGACAGTCCCTTTCTCTTGTCCATCCTCAGGAGGCTAGTTCTGGGAGAAATGCATTTTCCTGATTCTAAGAGGGTGGTTACCTTGTCATGCTAAGTGCCAAGCTTCTCTGCTGAGTAGCTCCTAATGAAGGGAGCTCTGTTCCCCCCAGAGATGCCTTTCAGCCTACTCGCAGTCTCCAGGGAAAGGCATCTCACTGAGAATTCTTGGCATGAAATAGGAGCAACTGATACATCCGTCCCTCCCCTGGGGACTTCCTTGCTCTCAAAAGGTGCCAACCACCATCTTCATGTAGAGAATGCATTAGCTGACTCAGATCCAGCACTGCTCAAAAAAAGAATTTGGTATAAAATAAGCAACACAAAACTTCATACTCTATCCATCTCTTGTAAATTCATAAGAAGCTCCACAAGAAAGAAACCATTTAACTCTAACTCATCATTTCTAAACTTTCTTGGACTGTGGTGCTCTCTTCCAAAACACCTATTAACAGATCAAGGACAGTAATATTCCTTGGAATCCTTTAGATCTCTGGGTAGGTTGTCCCTGGTTGCATCTTTTTATGATTCTTTTTTTTTTTCATTTGTGAGGCATTAAAATGCCCTTCTGGCTTCCAATTAGGAACTTAGCAGAATGTGCAAGAGAGAAACAGTTTAAGTGGTCCATTTAAAAACAAACAAACAAACCCTTAAAAGGATTTGGAGACTCAGAGGACCTTGAATGATATATATTTAGATAGGATTTCGTTTGATGTGTTCTGATCTCCCATACTTCCACCACCCTGGCACCCCTAGCTGGCAAGAAAGGCTGGTGCACACATTGGCCGAGGTAGTCACAGCCGCCTGCAGAGTCAGGCCCCTTCTGCACACACAGGGAGTGCTAAAAACATGCTGTTGACTCACTGACTCTAAGAGCAGAAGAAATGCCAAAAGTACAGGATGAGAGGCGAAAAGCAAGTGGAAAAATGTCACAGGGCAGTTCTAAGGAAGTGCCACTATCCTTTTCAGTCTACCCCAACATCTTCTGGTGATGGGCAAAGACCACTCTTATTTCTCTATAGTACTGGCTTCCATGAATTCTTCTGTTCCACAATAGATGAAAAGGCTATCATAATTCCAACAGAACTTGCTGCTTCTCTACTTCCTTCACTGTAAAGCCACCAAAGGAATGCTCATGTGACGGAAAGGTGGGTATTACATATGCGCCTTGTAAACATGAGTGCACTTCTCTCTGGGGCCCTCTATCTCAGGCTCCAATATTTTCCCCACCTTCCTCAGTGACCACTTGTATAACCACGGACAAGCTACTTACCTCTCTAAAATTCATTTCTGAAATTTCTGAGAAATTCTGCAATATCTCAGCCTTACTACATAACGTAAAATAGACATAACGCTCCCTATCTCATAGGGATTGATGATACATGGAAATTGTCTAGCACAGTACCAGGCATGGTATAATAAGTGCTTGCTGGAATACTTCTGATGGATGAGTATTACTATCACTGAAATAGTAACTATCGTTACTGCAATAATTATTATAAAGGTAGTATTTACATCAGAAGTACTAAGGTTATTATTATTACTATAATAATCATGATTCTTAGTCTTTCTACCAGATAGTGTTGCCTTTGAAGATAGGAATGGGCTGTTTTTGATCATCTTTTCCACACAATATCTAGCATATCATATGCAAATCGGGGAGCCAGAGTTGTTAAGGATGAAAAAAATATTGAGTCCTTTGTAAAAAACTTTGCAAAAGAGTCATCAGCCCAACACAAGATTTAAAAAAAAAAAAAAAGCTACTTCCTGTGGCGTTTGTTTTTGGAGGTAACCACAAAATAAGTGCCATTTGTGAATCTCCAAGGAGAGCACAGAAGTTGAAGGGCAAAACTAATGCAGGCGTGGTTTCCTGACTCCGGCATGCACTAGGCCCTAACTCTGAAAAGCATTTGATATTGACTCACTTGTAAAAATTGTGTTCTTTGTATAATTGTGTTCTTTGTATGAAGCAAAAGGTTTCCTTTTAATTCAAAGTTATCCTAAAAATAAGGCTCTGA